TCCCCCCCTTCGAGCCGTCGTTGTCGCTTGCTGGCTGCCGCCCCTGTCGCTCATCGCAAAACCTAGTCAGTGGTCACTCGCAACCACAACTGGCCGCTAGTCTCCGCCAACCGCAACTGCCGCCCGCCCGTTGTTGCCTGCCCACAAGTAATGCTTCATGTTGGATAAAGAAATGAAGACTTCGTGTACACCACTAACGAGGCTCAACCGTTTTATAAAAAAAATATAAAATTAAAAAAAAAAATTACCCAACCAAATTTGTTTTATATTTTTTATTTTTAAAAGCATATAAATTATAACGGTACAAAATGTGTTTTTAAAAAAAAAAACAAAACTTAATAAAAACAAAAACAAAACCCAAAAAAAAAAGAAGAAAGTAATCCCAGACAAGCCCTTACCTTTCTGCCCTCTTATGTATTTTCAAGTTTATGACTTTTTGGGTCTATATAACCCAACTGTGTAGCAATTTAAGTATGAATGAAAATGTATTTTTCCATCTGATTATTTCTTCCTTTTATCTTCTACTGAGAATTTATCATGGTACCAGAGCATTAGCTTAACAGCTTCAAGATCAATGGGCTCTCCTCGTCCAACTCTCTCTCCCTCGAATAGCCCACTAGCACACTCAACAAGATGAAGGAGATTAGCATACCTGTTGCATCAAAATTATTGATGACAAACTTCAAGAATGTTGTTCCTCAACCTCTTCCATATGAAAATTTTGCTATATGGAAGGTACAAATTAGAAAAATCTTTTATGCTAACGGATTTGAATCCTTTGTAGAGGCCAACGTCCCAAGCCTCTATCGTCACGAGAATTCTTTCAAAACACAGTTAATCAAGATTCTTAGTTATGGACTTTGGTTGATCAAAACTAAACTACAGCTATGTTTTCCACCATACCTGCTTTGTTTTTGCCATATGCTTTACATCTCAACATCTCATATGAAATATAACTAATGCTTCAACGACGTTGCAAGCTACCAACAGATAAAGAGTCATACAGCTCAAAAATGAGTTGCACAATCTCGAGATGGGCAACAATAATATGGCTCAAAATCTCATAATAATCAAGACAATGGTAAACAACATAGCTGCAGTAGGATCTACCATTGATAAAGGCAGTAGGATCAACCTTTGATAAAGGGGACATTATCTTATATACACTCAACGGTTTACTTACCACATATCAAGGATTCAAAAGTGCTATTCATACTCAATTACAACCCCCATCTCTAAAGAAATTTTATTCTCTCCTACATAGTGAAGAGAGAAATCTCATTATCGAAAACCTTTAGCAACCAACCCATCAAGCATTATTTCATCATAAAATCAAAAATTCCAATGCAAGAACCCAATGTAATCCATTCTTTAATACCAAGAACTTCAGTTCTACCCACAACAACAAAAACAATAATCCTTTAATCTGTCAAATTTTCCATAAGAAAGGTCATAATGTTGATCAATGCTGGCATCGCACGAATCTTTAGTACAAGCCTTCCATGGCACATCCATTTCCTGCTTTCACATCCACCATCAGCTCAAAGGAACAAGACTAGCTTCTCGACTCAGGGGCCATGATGCATCTCACACCATATAGTGAAAAACTCCATAATCTGATTCCCTATACCAGACAGGAAAATATTATTATAGGAAATGGACAAACAATTCAAATATTTCATTAAGGGGTCGGGCTTTTACCCATACCAGATAGAAAGCTTATTCGTTCCACCCTTTTTCATGCTCCTCTTATCTCATGTAATTTAATTTCAGCTTATCAATTAGATAAAGATATAATTGTTCTATTATATTTATTACCAATGGTATTATAATTTAGGATCTCCTTACTCACGAAATTCTTCTTCAAGAACCAACACATAAAGGGTTGTATCCCATTTATGCCTTCACAACAATAAAAAAACAAAAGACTTTCTTTGGCACAATCGACTTGGGCATCCTCATGCCAAGATCCTAACAACATATTTCTCACATGCATCCTTTATAAGCATGTTAAGCTCAACTTATCCTTGAACTCATTGCTACCCAAAAAAGTCACAAAATGTCTTCCCAGTCTAGTAACACAAATATAAATTGCTTGAGATGTAACATACCGGTGTTTGGGGTCCGTTTGCTCAATCTTCTATCAATGATTATAAGCACCCGTCACTTTCACTATTGGTGGTGTTTTCCTCTTCTTGCAGAATCTGATGTTTCTTCTTATTACAAACAATTAAGTAATCAGTTTAATAAAACTATCAAATACTTAAGATCAGATGGAAGGACTGAATATAAAAGCACTTATCTTCAAAATTATCTTCAATATCACGACGTTCAACATCACCTAAGCTGCCCTTAAACAGCTGAACAGAATTGTATAGCGGAAATAAAAAATAGACACATTATTGAAATGGCTAGAACTTTATTAAATTAAACCAAGCTTCCTTATCAGTTCTGGATAGCAGCTGTTGACACAACTGCCTACTTGATTAACTGCCTTCCCTCTCAAGACACTTCTCATAAATCTCCTTACCCTCTCTGCTTCTAGCTCATCTTCATCTGATCACAATCACACTCCTCCACCCCCTTCTTTCTTAGTTCCTAGATCTATTTTGAACACCACTCATTATCAAAAATATTCCACATCTACACAATCAGCCCCTACTCCCAATTCCTCTCTCCCACATCATCAATCTTCTTCAACATCTCATAAAAAAACTTAGCATTCTAAACCCATTCTCATTGCTCCCCCCATTTCCCATCCCATGGTCACTTGCTCTAAAATTGATCATCTTATACCCACCAAACTCTTTAATCTACTGCATCATCA